TCTATGTTCGGATTGGGACTAATTCTGTACACCACTAAAACATTTGTATACTCCTCTTGTCAGTATTCATGCCTTGATTCTTTCTTAGAGCTCTTAAATGTGTCCATGAATCTTTCTGCTTGCCCATTTGATCTAGGATGGTAAACAGTTGTAATGTGGTCTATAGACAAAGATGTGCAGAAATCCTTAAATTCTCCACTGGTAAATTATGTCCCATTGTCACTAACTATAGCTTGTTTAGTATGCTCATAGTATTTGCAGATGATGGCTGTCTACACTTGAATATTTCCAGCCACTTGGAGAAACTGTCCACATGTTTGGGTGTCCATCTGAAGACAATGCAGATGATTCAGAAACAGTTGGATGAGTCGAATGGTGATTATGAAGGTGTTTGGAGTGAACTTATGACTCCATTCGTCTTTCTACAAGGCCTCAGGCACAAGACAGAGATCTACATCAAGTGCTTTGAGGAGGTAGTGCTTCCCTGGGCCAAGAGAGTGGCTGCTGGAAGACTCTATGTCTGGTAAAATGACTCTATACCATGCCGCACAAGCAGGAGAATCCATTCATGGCTGTCAGACAACTTCTGTGACCACAACACACCTTACATCTGGCTACCTATCGTCCCAGACTGCAACCCCTTGATAATTATGTGTGGGGTGCAGTTGAGCAAGAGACCAACAGAAGTCCCTGTAACACCAAAGATGAATTTCGGATTGTTTACCTAACGAGTTCTTTCCTATTTTCTATATATTTTCACACACATACACATACATACATATATACATATATATATATATATATATATATATATATATATATATATATATATATATTGATGTATGCTATATTTATGAGTTAAAGGGCTTAATATCAGGGATAGAGTGGAGACTTCCCACAATGCACCACTGATCTGTATATATAAACAGTCAAGCAAAAATACAGTGTACATGGTCTGATAATTGTGTTTAGCATATAACAAATTGTCACCTCTGGGTGTTGACTTTAGTAACCACTTTATATATATATATATATATATATATTTATATATATATATATATATTTCTTTGCGTGTGTGTAAACATTTCAGATATAACTAAAATATTTCTGTGAAAAGACAAATATGAATAAAGAGAAAAGAACACATCTTAACCGAGGTGTTTCATCCTCTGATGGTAAATATATGGATTTTATTTTGCAATGAGTGATTATAAACAAAAGTACAAATGTTGTTAGTTTTCACAAAATTTTTAAATTTAAGAGACGCTCATAAATATTCATTAGGTTAATATTGATTAGGTTAACAGAAAAGTCTAGGTAAATTATGGAAGATGCAAAGTGAAGTAACTTAATGTCTAATAAAGGAAAGTGAGTAAATAATATTGTTGCTCAATTTCTTTTTTTTTTTATGCAAATAATATTTAAATTCTTTTAGTATGGGATAAATGCATGTATTATACATTATTTAAATAATAAAAGGTTATGAAATTGACTGGATATGTGAAGAGATTAAGATTGTGATGTCAAGGAAAGAATTTTACTATGATTCAATTCAACAAAGCAACACTGCTTGGAAAGCTATTCTAGTGGAACTTACTCATTACTAAATGAATACAAAAGGAATGAGGCTGGTTAACCTCAATGTACGCAGTGTGATGGTCCTTACTTTGGAGGATTTGAGTTGGGGTAACTAAGGAATGTAGCTCATTTGAACATTTACCATGCAATAGCTTGCAATGTTTTGTCTGTGGGAAAGGGATTGTAAGCTGGAAAACAATTCATCACCAACGATATTCAGTCACCCCCCCACCACGAGGGTGTCATGTGGCACAAGGCCTTTTTAAAGTGGGATCTCCGAGCCTGTGGGCTCGGCCAAAAATATGTCCATTGAACCCGTATAAACGGGTTCAGGGTCAGTTTACCTCCCCGAAAGATCTGCCCTTCGGTGTAGCCTCCTTTGGGTTCCTCCCCGCCCCAAGGTCATGTAGATATTTTCAGACTATCATGAATGGAAAGCAAAGACTGGGCAGGACATGCCCATATATGGCAGCAGAATTCCATTTTCAGCCTGATCTGGCTCTTGTAAAGGTAGAGGATAGCAGAAGGAGTCAGGTACTTACTGGAGCGGTACAAAGAACTGATCATTTTTCCAGCATCTTTAGCAATAGATTGTTTATATGAGTTTCACTTTATGTCTAAAAGTGAGCTTAAGTCCCAATAGACATTCAAGGGGCCTCCTTGAGAGAAGGCCTATAGAACTCATTGCAAAGAATGCCTCAAAATTCTGCAAGCTGTTGTAATCCAAGAGAAACCGCCAACATTAAATAGGATATCTTTCTCCGGTCATACATTGAAATGTGTATTAAAAATGTATGTATTCTGTTTGACTGCTGTAGACGACAGACCTTTTTAAGTGACTTGAAATTAGTTCCAGCAAGCTAAGAAATGCCAGAATTTGATAAACAGACAAATCTCATTGACTGATTTAAATTTCTTATCTTATGCCAGACATAGCTAAGTATTGTATATATGCATACATAGAATATACACAAAACTAGCAGACAATTATTGATAATGACTAGTGACAGTTGAAAGTACTTGGATGGATACAATAAATGAACTTTGAAAAGGTTATTTTGATATAAAACAACTTAGTTGTAAGTTAGAAAAACTAAATAAAATGTTGGATGGACAGACAGACAGATTTTGTTAGTATTGTTTCAGATATATTTAGTGTAATTAGGCAGCAATTGTTCTTTTATTTAAAGATATTTTATGTTTATTATCCAAAGATGCATTAAGATGACCAAAAATGCAGTGCAAAAGCTAAGCAGAGTATTAAGAAGCAGAAAAATTTCATTTGAAACAAAGAAAAGAGTATTGAACTGTTATGTGATATCTGTCTTCCTGTATGGCAGTGAATGCTGGGCAATCTACTCAGAGATGAGGAAAAACTTGAAACAAGAGAAATGTAGTTCTACAGAAGGATGCTGAGGATACCATGGACTGAACATGGATGAGGTTTTGAAGGAAGTGGAAGCAAAAAGGAAATTTATAATTAACATCAGGAAGAGGCAATTGAAATTTCTGGAGGATGTAATGAGAAATGAGGGCTTGAAAAATTTGATACTCACAGAACATATTGAATGAAAGAGCAACTGGGGAAAGCAGTGTGTAACATATTTGATGAGTGTGAGTAAATGTATAGGAGAACTGGGTTTGGGGGAAATAACAAAAAGACAAAACTTATTAAGAGTTACAAGGGACAGGAAGATGAGAGGGCCATGATTACCATGGATGCATCACATCAATGAAGAAAGAAGTTTAACCATTTATTTTCTTCGAAATTGTGATGTATGAAATTTTTGAAGTCAATATAATTGTCATGTCTGAGTTTTCGAAATCAATATAATTGTCATGTCCGAGTTTTCAAAATCAATATAATTGTCATGTCCGAGTTTTCGAAATCAATATAATTGTCATGTCCGAGTTTTTGACTTATGAGAGTCATCATCATGAGAGTGCGGACAGGGAATTTATTTTTACATGTGTATCCACTAAATGTCAGATTAAAAACACCCATTTGAAAATTACCGTGTTTTTGTTTTGGGTACAAAAATGAAGTTAGCAGATATAGATTTGAAAACAGCCCACAAGTGATGTGTATTCCTTAAATATGTAACTGAGCTATGTATTAACAAGATTGTCTCCCATGAACAAATCAGTAATGGCACACTTCTCTCTCTTACATGCGCACACACACACACACACACACATATGTATTTTTTTTTCATTAAAGACAACTGTTGCTAATATTTTTATTTAATTTTTCTTATGTTCATATAAGTGTTTACTTTTCTGGATATAAAGTGTATGAAAATTGTTCAAATGTTCTATAGATGTGAGAGCTTTTGGCTATTCTTTTAGCCATTATCAAGTATGTTTTATTTTCAAGTGAATGTGTAGATTTTTTATGTTTCTTGAATGATGGGAATATTTTTTTTTCCAAACACAGTACATTGTGACCGAGTTCATGGGTGTTGTTAATGTGCGTTGGATTTTTCTTTTTCTTATTAATGCTTCCATTATTTTTAATCATTTTTTCATGTGGATGAGGCTATTATACATCTGTTTTCTACAAGTATGTTATGGATGGAGTTTATTAGGATTCCATGTGTGTTTAAACGAGTCCTAATTGAGCTATGGTCAGAGAGATGTATCAGTGTAACAATTTTTACTGATATATATTTTCAAACATATTCTCTTAAGTAGATCAGAGAACATCTGTCAAGCCTTTCAGTTGCAGAAACTCTCCAAGATTAATTGTCTAGATCCACTCATTCTTCATAAAAGATTAAAAGTCTAGTTATCCTGAGTATGATAATAAACTACATCTGGCAGCAAGGCCTCTGATCAGGAGGTTTTGGGGAGCATAGAACGAACCTCTTAATTATCTTTGTTCCCAGGTCCACCCTGACCTAAAGAAGTAGCACCTGTTAGGACTCCAGCTATGAGCAAATAGTTAACCTCCAAACTGGGGTAAAAACACTATGAAAATATAAAAATAGATTTTTATTGTAAAAATAGCAGCAATATATTTTAGAAAAAAAATATTACCAGCAATACATTTGAGTCTCAACAAAAAACCCTCTTTACAAAAATACATAAATTAAACCTTATCTCCAAACTGATTTCTTACAAAGAATACATATTCTATTCATAGGAACTGATCCTAAAAATCTTGTCAGCATTACATAACCCATGAGGTTGATATGTCGTGAAACAAAATAAACCATAAAAGTCCAGAAATAGTTAATATGGCTTTATCATTGTTGTCATTTTAAGGATTCAGACTGTATTTCATTTCATAGACTAAAATATATTAAGCTTCACCAAAATATTATTATAATTCCTACTGCAAGAGGAGCCCAACATTGCCACATCTGTGGAAGAGAGTGTAAGACACAAGCAGGAGTAAAAAGCCAGATATTTGGGGATCAATGACATTTCTCAAAATTGTCATCTATCAATCTCAGTCTATTCATATCTATCCAAATCTGCCTGTTCTATCTATCTATCTATCTATCTATCTATCTATCTCAGTCTGTTCATATCTATCCAAACCTGCCTGTTAAATCTATCTATCTATCTCAGTCTGTTCAATTCATCCAAACCTGCCTGTTGATCTATCTATCTATCTATCTATCTATCTCAGTCTGTTCATATCTATCCAAACCTGCCTGTTAATCTATCTATCTATCTATCTATCTCAGTCTGTTCATATCTATCCAAACCTGCCTGTTAATCTATCTATCTATCTATCTATCTATCTATCTCAGTCTGTTCATATCTATCCAAACCTGCCTGTTAATCTATCTATCTATCTATCTATCTCAGTCTGTTCATATCTATCCAAACCTGCCTGTTAATCTATCTATCTATCTATCTATCTATCTATCTATCTATCTCAGTCTGTTCATATCTATCCAAACCTGCCTGTTAATCTATCTATCTATCTATCTATCTATCTATCTATCTATCTCATCTGTTCATATCTATCCAAACCTGCCTGTTAATCTATCTATCTATCTATCTATCTCAGTCTGTTCATATCTATCCAAACCTGCCTGTTAATCTATCTATCTATCTATCTCAGTCTGTTCATATCTATCCAAACCTGCCTGTTAATCTATCTATCTATCTATCTCAGTCTGTTCATATCTATCCAAACCTGCCTGTTAATCTATCTATCTATCTATCTATCTATCTATCTATCTATCTATCTCAAATCTATCCAAACCTGCCTGTTGATCTATCTATCTATCTATCTATCTATCTCAGTCTGTTCATATCTATCCAAACCTGCCTGTTAATCTATCTATCTATCTATCTCAGTCTGTTCATATCTATCCAAACCTGCCTGTTAATCTATCTATCTATCTATCTATCTATCTATCTATCTATCTATCTATCTATCTATCTCAGTCTGTTCATATTTATCCAAACCTGCCTGTTAATCTATCTATCTATCTATTGAGTCTGTTCATATCTATCCAAACCTGCCTAATCTATCTATCTATCTATCTCAGTCTGTTCATATCTATCCAAACCTGCCTGTTAATCTATCTATCTATCTATCTCAGTCTGTTTTATGCCAAACCTGCCTGTTAAAATCTTTCTATCTATCTCAGTTGTTCATATCTATCCAAACCTGCCTGTTGATCTATCTATCTATCTATCTATCTATCTATCTATCTATCTATCTATCTATCTCAGTCTGTTCATATCTATCCAAACCTGCCTGTTAATCTATCTATCTATCTATCTCAGTCTGTTCATTTTTCCAAACCTGCCTGTTAATCTATCTATCTATCTATCTCTATCTATCTATCTATCTATCTATCTATCTATCTATCTCAGTCTGTTCATATCTATCCAAACCTGCCTGTTGATCTATCTATCTATCTATCTATCTCAGTCTGTTCATATTATCCAAACCTTGTTGATCTATCTATCTATCTATCTATCTCAGTCTGTTCATATCTATCCAAACCTGCCTGTTGATCTATCTTCTATCTATCTATCTATCTATCTATCTATCTATCTATCATCTCAGTCTGTTCATATCTATCCAAACCTGCCTTTAATCTTCCATCTATCTAAATCTATCCAAACCTGCCTGTTAAATCTATATCTATCTCAGTCTTTCATATCCCAAATTGTTAATTATCTATCTATCTATCTCAGTCTGTTCATTTATCCAAACCTGCCTGTTGTATTTTATCTATCTATCTTAAGTCTGTTCAAAAAACCTGCCTGTTAATCTATCTATCTATCTATCTCAGTCTGTTCAAATCCAAACCTGCAATCTATCTATCTATCTATCTATCTATCTATCTATCTATCTATCTCAGTCTGTTCATATCTATCCAAACCTGCCTGTTGATCTATCTATCTATCTATCTATCTCAGTCTGTTCATATCTATCCAAACCTGCCTGTTGATCTATCTATTATCTATCTATCTATCTATCTATATCTATCTATCTATCTATCTCAGTCTGTTCATATCTATCCAAACCTGCCTGTTGATCTATCTATCTATCTATCTTAGTCAAATGCCTAATGTTTTTTATGTTTTTCTTCTGGTTTTTCTACATTTGTATGTATTTATGTTTTTATTAATAACTCTCTAATTTGCAATTTATTTATATCTATTTGAATATATATATATATAAAGATATTTTTTATGAATGTCATTTGCACATTGACATATCGTTTTATGCATGAATAAAAATTTATGTATAATTAAACACACACACACAAAGACAGACATACATACTTGCATGTAAATATGTGAATAATATCAAGTTACTTGTTTTTTTTTTAGCTCTTTTCTCTTCAGATCTTTGATCTTTGAAAAGGAAAAAAAGAATGAACTGTCCTTTTGCTTTCATTTATTAATTTTTTTTTGAATAAAACAAAGTTTAATAAGCAATTATGTTGCCCTTTGAAATATTCCTTTATCATCTCATTATATTTAAATTTTTTGTTCCATTTTAAATTCAAGAAAATGTTAATCCTTTCATCCAAATTTTTAATTCAAAAAATGTCTTTTGTGTTGTATTTTGATTGAATTTAGAAATCAAGAAATGACATCTTTTCCAGAACATATGGGAAGATCTAATGTATACATGTACATATACAAACATTTTATCTCTCTCTATATATATACATATATATATATATATATATATATATATATATATATATATATATATATATATATATATATATATATATATATATATATATATATCAGGTTTTAAGCCACTGTTATGGTGGGATGTTAACAAACAACTTTCAAATTGTACCCAAATGTAATACCCTTTATTCCATTGATCTTGTTTGCAACCAAGTGGGTTATAAAGCCTGGGGCAGCATACAACCTTCATATATCATCAAAAGTCTGCATCTTAGATGGTCACTCCAGTTTAACCAATAATAAAATTGAATTTTGACCAAATGGCTATCTCATGGGATAAATGGATGACTATTATATATATATATATATATATATATATATATAATTATTTATTCGAAATTATAACATAATATGTTAGAAAATCACTACAAAAATGGCCATTTTGTTTCAACACTTCTGGTGTCTTATCAAGTATGGTGTTTGAACAAAATGGCTATTTTTGTAGTGATTTTATATTTATGTAATAAATAATATAATAATTATATTTGCTCTAGTCTGTATTGAGCACTCTTTTAAGAATAGTATTTTTGGTTATTGCAATTTATTCCATATATATCCTATATATATATATATATATATATATATATATATATATATTTCCTGTATCATAATTCGATGAACGTTTATTGAAAAATAAAGAAGTGTTGAATTCAGTTTATTTTTTTCTTTAATGTCACTCACAACACAAAATTTCCAAAAATCATATATAAGTATATTAGTACTATGACTTTCTGGAGCCTGCTATAACTTTATGGAACCTTCTACAACTTTCGAAGCCTCCTAGAAATTTCTGGAAATTTATGACATGCATTTTGTTGGACTATATAAGCATAATCATTGGTTGGCTTGTTATTTAGATAACGTGATTGAGGAAAGGTGTGTTGTGCTTGTGATCAAATATCTTTTTGCTTCAATGTATATAAGCTTTCTGATTGGGCAACACTGACTGATTTGCTGAAAGATCTCTGAGTATTTATTTTTAACCATAATATCCTATAAAATATGTACTTCTACCACTGAAAGAAACAAGAAAATCTAGATGAAGAATCTCATATGATTTCAAGAATCACATAAGAAAAGAAGAACTGTTCCACTATAAGAACACCTTACTGGATAACAAAAGCAGGGTACCACTCAAAATCCAAATTGTTGGTTGTTATCTTTTCCTTGGAGAATTCATCAAAGAAAGAATATGATGGAAAATGCTAAGGAAGTAACATGTTCATGACAAAAGAAATTAAATTTCCCAAATTTATAAACTCAACTCATACAAGCAAAACTGGATTAAGTGCTGTGTCAGACAAGGAAAATAAGATCCTTTGAATTAAATTTTTGATATCACAAAAGAAAATGTTGAATGGCTGTGTGGTGAGGACAAACAGTTACATCATCTTCAGATTGAAAGGAAAGGTTAAAAAAAAACTGTGTGTTCCAAAACTATTCATCCATCCAAAAGAAGAAAAGTGACCTTGGAGCAAACTTCAACAACAATAACAGCAACAACTTCAACTTCTAAATCCGAGACTGAATCAGAGGCCCAATGAAAGAGTGAATTTGAAGTGTCTGAAAATTGTGAAGAACAATCCACAAGAAAAAGTAAGAAGTATAGCAAAACCAAAACTGCAACCAAATTAGTACCATCTTCATATTTATCAACAAGCAAAGCAGCAAATGTTTGTCAGCAGTTATCTTAAGAAGGGGTTGACATTGAGACAATTTCTCAATCTGGTATTTGCAGATTTACTATTCAAATAGCTGTTAAACTTAAAGAAGAAATGATGAAAACACTACACTTAGAAAATTGGTCATTACATTTTCAGTGTAAATGAATTGATGGCCAAGAATATCCAGTGCTTCTTTTGAAAAATGAAAAAAGTTAGAAGCATTAGATCTACAAAATGGAAATATGGATATTCTTGTCAAAGGAATAACATCCGTTCTGGATGAATACAATTTATGGAATAGCATAAAGTCAACTGTTTTGAAAACTACTCATGTAAACACTAGGAGCAAGAATGTGATTGTCAATCAGTTATGAAGACTATTTGCTTAAAAGAAACTGGAAGAATCACAATTCATTGGCTGTCAGATTAGTATTCTTGACCGAGTGCTTTGTGTAGTAATGGATAACAAACTTGGAGGAAACATCTCACCCAATATCGAATGTCCATGAATTTGTAAATAACTTACAAACAGCTCAAGAAGAATTTCAAGAATAGTAACGAATAGATTATTTAAACAGCGGGGTGGCATGAGGAAATGAATATTCGTCCTCCAACAGGAATCGAACCTGTATCCTATATGGAACTATCATATAGCCTGATGTGCCTTAACTGATTGAGCCACAGAAGGTCGTTTGGTTAGCAAGGTTGATTTTACATGGAAGATTGTAGTTTAAAAGCGGAGAACGAATATTTTCTATGAAAATTTCTTGGACATTCAGGTTAGTAAATGTTATTAATACTGTTTATTATAAGCAAATCATTTACTTAAATATTTGTATCTATAAAAAGAATGTATAAACATAAAAATGTCTTAGAATTGTTGCGGACCCGGCAGCGTGCAGTGCTGGTTTATTACTAAGTGGCCTTGTGCCAGACACCACACTAAACTACCGAGTCCACAAGCAATGTAAAAAAAAAAAATGTAAAAATGCGTGAATGAACAGTGAGAGGAAAGGGGTCAATCAACGAGTGCATAAATTAATAAACATCAAGGAGATAACCGGAATAAAATGACAAAGACGTCTATTTGTAAAACATGTGTAATTTTAATTAGATTGAAACAAGTAAATTTGGAAAAAGGGTTCCGCGCCAAAATAGGAATGCAAGATGGCTAAGGCGGGAAAAAGAGTTTTAAGGTTCTGGAAAAAGGGAACTCGTTAGACACGAGGTGTATGTGCGCACAGATAGAAAGGAGTACTCACTGTGGATTTTTTTGGCGTTGTAAGTGTGTGTGGTATTTTTGTGTTCAGGTTCATAGTTAGAAAGAATGTTCGGTCGTCTCAGAGTTTTTGGTGAGGCATTGAATTGGCTGCTGGAAATTTTAACGGATTGCTGTGGGCATCTAGCCAGGAGAAACGAAGAATGTTTGAAGCGAGTTTCATGGTCTTGTGGAGTTGTTTACGGCGAGCCCAGAGAGACGAAAAATGTTTGTTCGAAGGTAATAATATCCCTGTCTGTATTTACTGGTTCACTGACGAGGGGTAAGTGTAAGTCACCTGTTGAATACGAAGTTTTGCTCACGACTGTGTCGTGTGTCTCGAACGTCTTCTGGTCGAAAACGGAGAAGGTCTGACCTTCGGGCAGCAAGTTTGTTCGTCAATAAGATATCCCTATCTGTATTTAAAGTTTGGTTCACTGACGAGGGATAAGTTCTGCTTGCGACTGTGTCGCGTCTCGAACGTTTTCTGGTCGAAAACGGAGCAACTGGTTGACCTGCGGGTAACGTCAAGATGAGAAGAAGTCTTGGTAAGGTGTGAGGTCGACATTGTTGAAATAAGATATTCCAGCCCGCATATGGGTTAAGGGCACGGAATAAATGAGTTGCCCGTCTAGTCAGGTTGAAGATCGAGAAGCAACTGGTTGACCTGCGTGTAACGTCAAGACGAGAAGAAGTCTTGGTAAAGTGTGAGGTCGCCATTGTTGAAATAAGATATTCCGGCCCGCATATGGGTTAAGGGCACGGAATAAATGAGTTGCCCGTCTAGTCAGGTTGAAGATCGGGAAGCAACTGGTTGCAAACGCTGGCCGTTTTTGAGACGCCGCGAAACGCGCGGGAAAAAAATTCAAAATCTGTTAGTCTGAGTTCATCAGCAGGAGCTAGCGAAGGCTACTGCTATGTCTAGCTGTGAGAGGAAGAAAGGGGTGAAAACCGCGCGCACACACGCACGAGTGTGAAAGGAACGGAGGAAACTCACGCGCGCGTAAAATATAGATGGAATTAATGTGTTAATTCCATAGAATAATTGTTGGACTTTGTCCATTTCATAATGTATGATGTTCTTATATATAAACAAGAGTCACATGTTTGTTTTCTTTCATTTCTGACAGAGGATACACGTGACACACTGTTACTTGGTTTGATGAGGTAAGTCACCATTCTCTTCACTCCCCATCTATGTAATGACCAGGTTTGACATTGCTTAACTTTGGTGATTCAATAAAACCAGTGTTTTGATGTGATTTGGTCAGAAGCCTGTACAAGGTCTGTTTGGGAAGTATCCATTTAATACTTACAAAAGATAGCCTTCCTAAGGAAATGGCACTTTAGTCGTCTTCAAATATATTCCGTTTTCTTGTGATTTCCTACGTTTTAGCATTATTTCAACTTTCAAAATATTTTTTGCA